CCCCCCACACACACCCGCCCTCTTTGTTTTGCTTCTAACTACCTTTCTGATTCACTTCTTGCGTTTATTTATTAAATATTTATAATTCTCTTTTATCTCTGTTGAATGTGTTGGCAGAAAGAAAAGTTGTACATAATGGAAGGAAATAACAAAAGAAAATGGAGTTTTAATAGAAGTGATCTAAAGAGAAGAACAGTACTTATATATTAATACGAGAAGTGGATGTAATGCATTTCTTTGAAGGCGCCCTCATCCTTTCAAACTATAGATTGTTCAAATTCATATTTTCGGGAAAGGTAGATGAGGTTATTCCATTTTTTCCTTAAGCCGTTACAACTCAAAGTAAGCAAGGTGAATACCTTAATATAGGCGATGTCTTAGTGTTGTACTCACGTCGTAGTCATCAGTGTTCACTGTGTGATACCATCGGCTTTTGACACATTCCTCTAAATTTCGATTAGTCTTTTAGCAGATTTCTCGGACTTTTCACGAGTTTCAGAAACGTGAAAAGGCGATTCTACTATTAGACTAAAACTTTGAAATCTTATTTCATCCTTCTTTGTATCTGAGCTACCTTCAGAGATCCAAAAGAAAACATCTAGACTCACACCTACCCACATGCATAGATTTGTTTTACATAAAATGGATCATGTTTGAAAACATCTATGTTTTATTCATATTAAATAATCTCTCCTAATTTTCTTCATTGCAAAGTTTTCGGACCTCTCAGAGTCTCACATCTTTGTGACGCATCTGTTAGTGATTTTCGCACCATGAAAAAATTCTTGCTACGGTACTTATGAGAAAGGATGTCGAACATTAGTGGACTGGGTGAATATTTGTTGCTATGTTAGGTCGCAGAAAATGTGTTTGAGAAAATATTACTCATAGTAGTCTCATTATCATTCTAAAAAGGATCGATATAGTCTATGTGTGAGAGAAAATTCCTCGATTATAGTATGGATCGATACATGACAGACAGAGATAGTCCGTCATCAGGCAGAACACGAGCGATACGATTAATAAAGTCATTTTAATGGTTAATACTGCTGAAATCCAAGCAACATACCTTGGTTCGTTGGCTCCGGTATGAGTCTTGGTATAGTTGGAACGGGCTTGAGTTGCGGTGGCTTTGATGCATCTAGAAAGAAGGTAAACAATGTGATTATCATCCGAGCGAGTTCTTAAGAAACAGGGGTGACCTCGATTCATGACTAAATGAAGGATTGTATTGAGATTTAAAAATCAACTCAAAATTGGAAAGAAGCAACACTATTTATTTCATGGATGCTCGCACACTTTTCTCAAACACTCTTGCAGATGATTTATTGACATTGATTTTTTTCTAATTTAAAAAGAGTATCTTACCTCGTACAATCCATCATCAATATCTCGAGAGAGTGGGTGTCCTATTGGACTTGGCTTCGTCTATAACCACATCCGGACCCTTTCCTTACATGGTTTTCTATGTTCGAAATTGAAACATTATCTATGAAGAGACGCACTACTCATGTATTTCACAGTTGATCTCACTCGACGTGCTTTTCAGCTGCTACTCTAGAGTACTCAAACTTCCTACGGTAAAAACTAACTTGAATTAAATGTGACCAGGCGAAATCAACTTCCGAACGTTCCACATGGCAGTATTAAATTGAGGACATTGGGAGCGAATAGCAATACAGCTTGATTTTTGTCGACTTAATTCTGTTGTCTACCTCTTGGTATATAGTATCTTCACATCTGCAGTTCATATATTTTTCTGTTTTTTCTCATACTAGTATTGCTATCTCAGAAGAGTATTACGTCACAGTGCACATGCTATGATTCTACTTACATCAGTGCAAGTACTGAATATAACTGTTAAGTAAAAAGTATTTGTACTTGTACTGCTGTAATTTCTGACACTCGCACGCCCTTAAATAGAATCTTTAAACTTACGTTGCCATACTGGTCAATGTGATAGTATATGCTTGTATGAGTATCCCATATCACAAGAGTCTACAGTGGCTGTGATGGAAATAGTATTCATGCTCTCCTGAATAACAGACTACTAATCAATTTGAATACAATCCAACAAAGATTTGCTGTTTCTCGCAATGTAAAAGTTGCACGTATCTAGTTACTTTTTGGAAATTACTCAGCTTACGACCGCCTGCATTACATGCTTACATACATAAAATGTGAAAGTAAGAGATAATATAAGTCTTGTTTCACGCCATAAATGCGCTGGGCGTGATGAAAGTTTCGAGAAATGCGTTGAATTGTGAAAATTCTGCAACATTTTGTGCTTTTTGCGTATTGAATAAAAACAAACAAGAATGATCCCCTTTCATCTCATTCAACCCATGAAAATGCTATGAAAAGCGACCACTGCAACGTGCGAATTGTGTATGCCTAATAAGTGAGTAGTTTGAAGATCTGACGCTAATTCTCTTCAGAATTGAAAAACATACCTTTTCTCTTACACCGTATGAGTACTAATGTTATGCAGAAGAGATTGTACTTGCAACTTTAAAAGTGAAAGGAGGACGAAAGAAAATGGTCATTCGTGAGTATAAATGATTAGGAAATTAGAAGTACGGTCTAATGGATTTCAGAGTCTGAATGATAGTATATATTGACAAAACATTTACTTAATTTATTCGACTATGCAGCGAAACTCTCAAAAAGCTCTACATGATAGATGAAGACACCATATGGAAAACACACTGTAGTTCACCCCATAGTATCCAGCGAGCTTTCAGGATGAAAGCTATGTTGGTGTCCTGTATAGATCAAATTGAGAAAATTTGCCTCAAAGATGACGCTTTTCTCCTGTTTTTGGTCAATGGAGGTCGCTTTATCATTGTACTACAAATAGAGCAAATGAAAATGGTTCACTATAGTCGAGAAACTTAGTTGAAATTGATGCTTTTACATATTGCACAAATGCTCTCTTTAAGAACAAATTTTATGTAATTGGCGCATTTCTAATTTAAATCACCTATTGCCTATATATTTAACTGCCATATTCTCGAATAGACACGAAGTTCTTGGTAAAAGAGTATGGTAACTGCTGAGACAAAAATCCGCTATTGGGTACTGCATTTGCTTGAAATAGAGATCTAAAGTACAAGAATCAAGAAAATATGTTCGTTCCAATGCATCTTGCATTCTAATCTGACGAGAGTGCAAGTTTGAATGTAACTTCAAAGTATCACCTAAAATACAATCATACCAAAAGAGTCACTAGTAAGAGTTTTACGAAGCATGCAAATTTCACTTTGGAAGAAGATAGTTTATGAAGACATAATCAAAATCTCGTAAAGTATCACTGTAAGCCTGTCAGAAGAGCTCCGTAGAGCATCTATTGATGACAACGGTGTCATGTTGAATGTAACATACCTGATTTTGACGAAGATTCGACTTTCAGTTGTGGTGAGACGTCCAACGGCTTCTCTTGAGGCACAGTCGTATGGGACTTCACTTTAGATCTGGATACAGCTGAAGCGGGTTTGTGTTCCGGTGGCTTTGGCACATCTAAAACAGAACAAAGAATATGTTCATTATACTTATGAGTTCATACTGACAGAGCTTGAAATCAAGCAATATAGAGATTCAAACTTTGGGATATCCTTATCCGAGTCAAAAATACTGCTACGGGAGTCCAAATGAATTGTCTATAAAGTATAACTCAAAACTGATTTTTACAAGATCGACGGACGTGATACAACTCGCAGTCTGCTATTCGATTGGATCATGAGATTCATTTTAACATAAAAAGTCTGTACGGATGAGATAAATGTCTTTGTAGTTGTTTCAGCAAGATAATTGTAGTCGCAGTATATATCAATTTTATATTTTTTTGTCACTGGCATAATTATGAGCTAGCCAATATATAATAAAGACAGTGACCGTTACCAATGACGACCTGAACATTTTACTTCAATAAAGCGTCACATGTATCAGTGTTAGTTTCAAAGAAACTGCCAATGTATAAGTCCAATAAGAGCACGTTTTCAATTGCTGCTAGTTAGAATTTTTTTTCTACTTCAAGAGAATTGATATGCATTGTGCATGTATATAGTAATATAGAATTATTAAGTCGCCTTTGAGTTACAAATTGATTAGAGTTTCTCTCTTATAGGTACTGATGTAAAAAGTGAACAGAGATTTGAAATCTCTTTCTAATTTAATAGCTACTCGAGCATCCAGTTAATCAACATTCAAAATAGTAAACTATAATACCTAATAAAATATTTCTACCTCATCCAAACTCACACTTGAAAATACAAAGAATTGTTACATCCTCAAAAAAAGCAACTGAATTCATTTCGATGTAGGACATCTATTTTAATATAATAGAGTTCCTTTGGATGAACTTACGAATGTAATCGGTGTGCTGATCAATAGCGACCGTCCCAACTAATGCATTCGGATTTTCCAGTGCGATAGCTTTTTGACGCCATTCCATACTTTTGTCCAAGTCACCAGCATATGAGGCAAGCTTGCCAAGATCTTGATACAAATCAGCAAGTATCAGGTCGTTGGGCGGGAGTTGTCCTATCATACGAATAAAGTATTTTTCAGCTAGGTCAGGCTTTCCCATTTCCCATAATAGTTTTCCGAATTTATGAAGATTTGTTTCTCCACTTGCAAGTTGCTTTTGCATATCTGTGAGTACATGTTTTAATTCATGTTCATTTTCACTGCATACAGTCATTTTGATGACCCATACTTGGTCATTACTATTGTGATTGACGCTTTTCAAACGAAAAATGGAACCAAGCATAAAGAGAACTTCCGATTCATCACTAAATTCACTATATACACTGATTTCCGCAAATGGTTTTGTAGTGACCATCTTAGGGTTGGCATCAATTTCAAATAATACTGGTTCTAAACTGTCTGTACCATCAGGAACATTGAGAAATGAAAGAGCATGCTGGTAATCAGTACTGGTAGAAAAAAATGAATTCACTGAAATAAACTGCCCACAACATTGTTGCAAAGTATTTAGTTCATCACTTGAAATCATTTGGCTTCGATAGACTCGGAGAGAATTTTTAGATTGATGATTTTTCAATTGATGATGAATATCAGAGATGTATGCGCGAAATAAAAATATTAAATGAATATCTTGAGTACGGAGAGCTGCATTAAGCGTCTTGTAAAAGAATGATTCTCGTGTGTACCACCATAGAACGTTATTCAGTGAATAATCTTGCGAAAATTCAAGAAGATTGCTCAATTCATCACTATTACCTTCATATTGTTGTTTACAAATACGAATAAGTTCTTTTTTATCTTCTTCAGTGTATTTTAATCGAAGAAGACAATCAATCAGAAGTTGAGAAAAAACAAACTGACCATTTAAACCTGTTGTCGATTTACCTGCGTCGGCACTTGTAGTAAAAATATTAATGGACAAGGGTTCTTCGACCATTTTCTGAATTTTATGATCAGCTTTTATTCGAGAGATGAGTTCATCAAGCTCAACAACAACAGCTTTTACCTATCAATAAAAAATCATCATACAATGAAGTTGAAATCATTTAGCTTATATTTACTTTTGTAAATTTACAAGCCCATTCCTCATTACTTTTCTTATCGAAACAATATACATAGATTGATATAACTTGGCGAAGTTTGTGAATAGCAGGAACGATTTCTCGTCCTAATTGGCCACTAACGATCATAACTAATCGATCTTTTTGTGATCTTTCTTTAATATATTTTTGACATTGTTCTACATCTTTAAACTTCTTGAGATGATTAATAATAGAACGTAAACTTCGTTCTGTATCTCGAATTTCTGTAGCATTCGCATTTGTGTCGAGCCAGATAAGACAAAAAATTTCAAGCCGCATATCGTCAGTATTTGTGTGAAAGTCATCGATTGATAGAGCGTGACTGGCCATGTTAATCACAGATACTAAACAGAATAGACATCCTTAGCTCTTGTAGGTGAGATCATCAAATCAAGATATTCAGCTTTAAAATGAATCAGGCATATCGGTATTTTTTTCCGCGTAATCATCTAATAAGAGTTCATGCGTTTCCTTTAAGAAACTCTCTAAAGCAAACTTATTTGAATCTGTCAGATCGAGTTGTACATTTAAAAAATGCTGCTTCATATCTGATTAAAGCAGCGTTAACATTTGACAGAGTTTTATTAACTGAGGTTGGAAGAAAAATAAGTTCAAGTTTGCTACAAAAAGCTATGCTTTTCGTCAAACCTATCAAATGCAGGACAATAATATATGCATTGTAGTGCATGAAACCAACAAAAGTCGTTGTATGTAGGAACTAGTTTTAGAGAAATGAGAGTGCGCTGACGAAATTCACTTTTTTAAATAGAACAACGAGCGACCACATTCATATTTATACTTTTAAAAAATTGAGATATATTTCGAGCATAAACGAAAAAAGCTTTTTTAAGGTAGATAATGATCGACATTTCTCTTTTCTTTTACTATAGTCTGTCTTAAGTCTGCAGATGTTGCCGTTCATCCCTGATAATCCAAAGGAAAAGAAAGAGCTCTTTATGTGCTGTACGCATTCTTGGACAAATAGATCTTTTTCTTGTGTGACCAACAATCTTTCTTTGGAAAACTTGTCCAAGCAGAAGAAAAAATTGCCCGTAGATAAAATTTTATTTCGCTCAAAGACCTATTCCTATCAAATAAAATTATAAATGTGTTATTTAAAACATTCTGGGCGATAGAATTTTTATCAAAGTTCACTACATTCTCTTTATAAAAATTAACATGTTTAGTTAATTGTTTTGCATCAAACTGACTCTAAAGCTCCATGTCTCTTTCTTAAAAGCAATTTCTAAAATAGTTTTATAAATTGAGTACTAGACTTCCTAATATGGCAATGCCATAGTCTGATCCACTGGATATCCTGCTCCTAGTGTAGGGTGGCTTGATTGATTCAGGGATCATATGGTGAAGAAAATGAGTTGAACGACATAGTAAACTTTGGGTTTTTTTCTTTGACCGCATCATTGAATGGATAGAATTAACATGTATCTCGTACTATTGGAATA